GAACAGAATACAGAGCCTAGAAATAAACCCTCACATATATGGTCAAATGATATTTTTTAAAAAATTTTCACTAATTTATTTATTTTTACCTAGACTTCGCATGCAATTGATTTGACTGATTGACTCATTGAGGTATAATTGACATACATTATATTAGTTTCAGGTATACAGTATAACATACATATGTGTATGTATTGCAAAACGACCACCACAATAAGTCTAGTGAAGACAGCTACTAAGATTTACTCTCTTAGCAACTTCTAAATACGCAGTACGGTATATCATTATCTATAGTTTCCATGCTGTACATTACATCCGCAGGCCTTATTTATAATTGGAAGTCTGTATCTTTTCATTCCCTTCACCCATTTTGCCCATCACCAATCTGTTCTCTGTATCTATGAGCTTGGTTTTTTTTTTTTTTTAAAGATTCCACATGTAAGTAAAGTCATACAGTATTTGTCTTTCTCTGTCTTATTTCACTTAGCATAATGTCCTTCAGGTTCATTCATGTTGTCTGAAATGGCAGGATTTCCTTCTATTTTATGGCTGAATTATATTCCATTGTGTGTGTATGGGGGAGGGTGTGGGTAGGTGGGTGGGCATATCACATTTTACTTATCCATTCATCTGCCAATGGACATTGATGTTGTTTCCATATCTTGGCTACTGTAAACAATGCTGCTATGAACACAGGGGTGCAGATATCTTTTCGAGTTAGTGTTTTTATTTTCTTCAGATCAATACCAAGAAGTGGAATTGCTGGATAATATGGTGGTTTTATTTTTAATTTTTTGAGGAACCTCCATACTGTTTTCCATAGTGGATGCACCACTTTACATTCCCACCAGCAGTGCACAAGGGTTCCCTTTTCTCCACACCCTCACGGACACATGTTATCTCTTGTCTTTTTGATGATGGTCATCTTGACAGGTGTGAAGTGATAGCTTATTGTGGTTTTGATTTGCATTTCTCTGGTGATTAGTGATGTTGAACATATTTTCATGTACCTGCTGTCCATCCGTATGTCTCTTTCAGAAGAATGTCTATTCAGATCCTCTGCCCATTTTTAAGAAATAATTGTTTTTCTGCTATTAAGTTGTATGAGTTTTTCATATATTTTGGATATTAACCCATTATCAGATATATGATTTTTAAATATTTTCTCCCATTCAGTAGGTTGCCTTTTCATTTGTTAATGGTTTCCTTTGCTGTGCAGAAGCTTTTCGGTTTGATGTACTCCTACTTGCTTAACTTTTGTTGCCTTTGCTTTTGATGTCAAACTCAAAAAATTGACAAGACCAATGTCTAGGAGTTTACCCCTATGTTTTCCTTCTAGGACTTTTATGGTTTCAGGTCTTACATTCAAGTCTTTAGTTCACTTTGAGTTCATTTTTATGTGTGGTGTAGAAAATTGGCCCAGTTTCATTCTTTTGCATGTGGCTGTCCAGTGTTCCAAGCACCATTTATTTAAAGACTGTCCTTTCCCCACCATATATTCTTGGCTCCTCTGTCATAAATTAGTTGACATATATGCATGGGTTAATTTTGGGGCTATTCTGTTTCATTGATCTATGTGTCTGTTTTTGTGCCAGTATAATAATACTGTTTGCATTACTGTAGCTTTGTAATGTCAGGGAGCATGATGTCTCCAGCTTTGATCTTTTTCAAGATGGCTTTGGCTATTGGGGGTCTTTTGTGGTTTCATACGTATTTTAGAATTGTTTGTTCTATTTCTGTGAAAAATACCATTAGAATTTTGATAAGGATTGCAATGAATCTGTAGGTTGCTTTGGGTAGTATGGCTATTTTAACAATATTAATTATTCTAACCAAGAGTATGGAATATCCATTTATTTGTGTCTTCTTCAATTTATGTCATCAATATTTTACAGTTTTCAGTGTACAGGTCTTTCACCTCCTTGGTTAAATTTATTCCTAGGTATTTTATTCTTTTGATGCAGTTGTAAATAAGATTGTTTCCTTAATTTCTCTTTCTGATATTTCATTATTAGTGTATAGGAACACAACAAATTTCTCTGTATTAATTTTGTTATCCTGCACTTTACTGAATCATTTATTCTAACAGTTTTTGGTGGAGTTTTTAGTGTTTTCTATACATAGCATCATGTCATTTGCAAATAGTGACAATTTTACTTCTTCCTTTCCAGTTTGGATGCCTTTTATTTCTTTTTCTTGCCTAATTTCTCTGGTTAGGACTTCCAGTACTATATTAAATAAGAGTGGTACAAGTGAGCATCCTTGCCTCGTTCCTGATCTTAGAGAAAAGCTTCAGCTTTTCACTGTTAAGTACGATGTTAACTGTGGGTGATCAAATGATTTTTGATATGGGTGCCAAAACCATCTAATGGGGAAAGGACAGTCTTTTCAACAAATGGTGCTTGGAAAACTGGATATCCACATGCAAAAGAATTATGCTGGACTCTTACCTAGTACCATAAACAAAATTAACACAAAATGGAGCAAAGATCTAAATATAAGATCTAAAAAATAAAACTTTCAGATGAAAATATGGGACAAAAGTTCACAACATTGGATTTAGAAATGTTTTCTTGGATATGACACCGAAGGCACAGGCAAAAAAAATTAGACTTCACAGAAATCTTAAAATTTTCTGCATCAAAAGACACTATCCATAGAGTAAAAAGGCAACCCAAAGAAAGGGAGAAAATATTTGCAAATCATATATCTGATAACGGATTAATATTCATAATATATAGAGAACATCTAGAACTCAACAAGAAAACAATCAATTCAAAATCGGCAAAGGACTTGAATAAACATTTCTTCAAAGAATATATACAAATGGCCAATAATTCCATGAAAAGATGCTCAACATCATTAATCTTTAGGGAAATGCAAATCAAAATTACAATGTGATACCACCTCACATCCATTAGGAAGGCTACTATTAAAAACAAACAAACAAACCAACAGGGAGTTCCCTAGTGGCCTAATGGTTAGGATTCCAGGCTTTCACTGCAGTGGCCTGGGTTCAATCCCTGGTCAGGGAACCAAGATCCCACAAGCCATGTGGCGCGGCTCTTCCCGCGCCAAAAAAAGAGGACATTCAAAAGAAAAAAAAAAAACCAATGGAAAATAAAATACAAGTGTTGGTAAGGATGTGGAGAAATTGGAAACTTTGTGCACTGTTGGTGAGAAGGTAAAATGGAACAGCTACTGTGGAAAATAGTACAGCAATTCCCCAGAAAATTAAAAATATAATTACCATATGACCCAACAATTCAACTTCTGGATATATACTTAAAATTGCTGAAGGCAATGTCTCGAAGAGATAGTTATACACCCATGTTCACTGCAGCATTATTCACAACAGCTAAAATGTGAAAGCAACTCAAGTGTCCATTGATAAAAAAATAGATAAGCAAAATGTGGTAAATACATACAATGAAGTATTAACTCAGCCTTAAAAAGGAATTCTGATATACACTTCAACATGGATGAACCCTGAAGACACTATGCTAAGTGAAAATCAGCCAAACACAAGAAGACATATACTGTATGATTCCACATAAACATGGTACCTAGAATAGTCAAAATCATAAAGACAGAAAGTAGAGTGGGAGTTGCTGCAGGCAGGGGTGGTTTCAGTTTTGTGAGAGGAAATGACTTACGAAGATGAGTGGTGGTGAGAGCAGCACAGAATTCTGAACGTGTTTAACACCACTGAGCTGTACACTTGAACTGGGTCAATGGTAAATTTGTGGTATATGTATTTTGCCACAATTAAAAATTGGAAAAAAAAGTAAATGGAGTAAGAGATCTAAACGAAAATTATGTAAACCCAGAAGTCAGGTGGATAATAGGTGAAGGGCTTCCTGAGGCCAGAGAACTTAACCGTGTCTTTTTTTTTTTTTTAACATCTTTATTGGAGTATAATTGCTTTACAATGGTGTATTAGTGTCTGCTTTATAACAAAGTGAATCAGCTATACATACACATACATCCCCATATCTCCTCCCTTTTGCATCTCCCTTCCACCCTCCCTATCCCCTCTAGGTGGTCACAAAGCACCGAGCTTATCTCCCGGTGCTATGCAGCTGCTTCTCACTAGCCATCTATTTTACACTGGTAGTGTACATATGTCCATGCCACTCGTCCCAGCTTATCCTTCCCCCTCCCCGTGTCCTCAAGTCCATTCTCTACATCTGTGTCTTTATTCCTGTCCTGCCCCTAGGTTCTTCAGAGCCTTTTTTTTTTAGATTACATATATATGTGTTAGCATACGGTATTCGTTTTTTTCTTTCTGACTTACTTCACTCTGTATGACAGACTCTAGGTCCACCCACCTCACTACAAATAACTCAATTTCATTTCTTTTTATGGCTGAGTAATATTCCATTGTATGGATGTGCCACATCTTCTTTATCCATTCATCTGTCGATGGACACTTAGGTTGCTTCCATGTCCTGGCTATTGCAAATAGAGCTTCAGTGAACATTGTGGTACATGACTCTTTTTGAATTATGGTTTTCTCAGGCTTAATGGTATCTTGACAAGGACATTGCCTGAGCTGTGAGGGTCCTAACTCTGGTGACACACATAGTAGTTCCACCATTCTTTGATAGGAAAAAGCATCATTTCAGAGGCAATGAGCAGTGTGCTGGCAAGTTATAATGAGACCCATGTTAAACAAGTGAGAAACTCCAGTGCACAGAGTTTTATAATAGAATACTGGGATTTGAGAACCAGCAAGAAAGAAAAACATAGGCAGTTTTTTAATTAGAGGTTAGGGAAGCTCTGTTTACATAAAAAATAGCTGGAACATCTGGAAATAATCAGTCAGCCTAGCTAACTATTGAAATGGTCACGCATTTTATAGCTTGAACAAAATGCACATATATCGCTCTCTCCGTGTTTTGCTGCCAGGCCCCACCAGAGCCCTATACCCATAAGAATGAAAACTGACCATTGCTTTGCGGCTTGATAACTACTATTACGCAGACTGTGTTTCTCACCTTCACTCCAGCTAGCATCCCAGTCGTGGACACACTAAAATCAAGATAGGCTAGCGTGTCTGGGTTGGAAGGTTTGTAGATCTGGGCAGGCCGCTTCTTTGGCAAATCATCTGGAGAGCAAAACAAAGCTGTTAGCATCTCTGACTTAATGGAAAAGCAGATAAGCAAACAAACATATCAGCGAGTTGGAGGACGAACCTGTGTCCAGTATCGGGGGCCAGGCCCTGACGTCTACAGCTGCAGCTGCCTCCCTGGACCGTAACAATTTACAGATCAGTTGTGTTGTCATCAAACAGGCGGAGCGGCTCACCTGAGGGTCAGAGAACAAGGAATGGAGAGGAGGAGGGTAAAGGACGGGGATGGACGCACGCTCACGTGCCAGCTGTGCACCACGTGGAGGCCATGAAGCTCACAGCACAGGCTGGGCACCCGGAGCACAGCTGCCTCACAAGGGGCTGTGTTGGCCAATGGAGTTCCACATGACCAGGAATCTGACCACGGAGCACACAAGCAGACCTTGTGGGGACTGAAGTCCCTGGCAGTATCCCCTGTGTGATGGTCACACTCAGAAAGCAGCATCCAGACTACCTGTTCTCACTGTTAGCTCCGTCCCCCAGAAATGCACACATTTACACACACAGTACCATCTACCAGAGTGACAACCTTGAGGGTCCTCCAACACAACTACAAAGAAGTATTCATTTGTGATGTCCCTCGTGGTTCCTCCTCCAAGGGAAAAACATACCCTAATCCTCTTAAACTTCCCCAGGCAAAAAAAATTAAATCAAATCTATACTTTCAAAAAGGAACAGGATGCTTCTCAATCTTGAGGAAAGAACCTTTAAAAATGTATGACTTTCCCACTTGTTTTGGTCTGCTCCTTGGGCTTGGTAGGGAAGCTCCCAGTGTCCAGAGGGATGCCCTCTCTGGGCATCAATTCCCACGCATTGTGGCAAAGCTGCTCTCTAGCCCCTAATTCTACGCACAAGCTGCTATCTTCCTTCCAGAACGAGATGGCCAACTCCTAGAGGGAAGAGGCTGAGTCCCACTCCACCGCTGGGACCTCCGACTCCCATGCAATCCCATGTCTGCACCCAGCCCTTCCCCGGGAGCCCAGGCTCTGTGATCTGCAAGCCCAACACTCAGGCGCAGACACCCGCAGGCAGCGTTACCTCCACGATCATCTTCACGGTTGGCAGCGTGGTTGCGATGTTCTGTGGGTGTGGAGGACGGACGGTTATTGGCACACAGCCTGCATACAGGCAACCATAAAATGCTGCGATAAGGTCTATTCCTACATGGGGAGAAAAGCAAAAGTTCTCACTTGAAACAAAACAAGCTGTTTAATGGCCATAATCCCTATCAGCAGAATCACCAGCCTGGAAACAGTCAGATGGGTACGGCAGTAACTGAGACCTTGAACAGACCTGTCCTCCTCCTTGTGGGTCTGTTAAACTTCAGGGGTAACTCCCACCTGGCCCGTTCTTTTAGGCACAGGAAGCCAAAGCAGCCCAGAAGCTTGATTGTTCTCATTTCTCTAAGGAATTACTCAACTTTCTGATTATCAATTCAGTAGTCAAGGATTTAACTACTATTGATTAAATGAACTACCTCAGATAGCTAATAAAACAAATTTAGATACAAAAGTCGTTGTGAACTACTGCTTTATCTGTGTCCCTACTATTAGTGGTATAGCACGTAGCACAGTCCGCACAAGTGAGCCAGGCAGGAGAGACAGTGCCCATTTTTGGTGGTAACACACAAGGTCATCGAGCACCAACATGTGCAGTGAAGGGTCTCTCGGGCAAGGGCTGGTCTTGCATGGCCCTGCTTCTTACCTGGTGGGTAGACCAGAGCGACGTGGTCCCCATCCTGCAGGTGCCCTCTCTCCATCAGCATTACGGCTATCTTCTCAGCCCGCTTGTGCAGCTGGACACACGTCAGCGAGTTCGCTATTGTGCCCTGAGTAGCACAAGAACAAGCGGGTAAGATTTTTTTTAATATGACAGCTTTGAGGTGCAGTTCATATACCATACAACTCACTTATTTAAAATGTGCAGTTAAATGGATGTATCTGCAGAGTTGGGCAACCACCACCACAGTCAGCTTCAGAATGTTTTCGTCACCCCCTCAGAAGAGCCCCCCACTGTTAGCATTCACTCTCCTTTCCTCCCCACTGGCTAAGAAGTACAACACCAAAGAGGCATTTAGATTTTTTTGTTTGTATTAAAAAGAAATATTTAAAAAACAATGACTTGACTTGAAAAAACAGCTAAAATCACAAAAAAAATCAATCTAGTAATTCTGGGACTTAAGTGTAATTGTCATGGGCAATAAGAATTAGTCGTAAATCTGCAGGACTCACACTATGAAAAGTAAGACTAATTGAAACTGTTTTTAAGAAAGACCACATCAAAAGTCAGGGAGGTCAGAAAACAAACAACCCCCCAGAAAAGCAACAGTCAAAAAAAAAAAAAAAAGTCAAAAAACCCCCAAAAAACACAAAAGAAAAAAAAGGGAAGTGTCAAATTCATTTAATGTAGACTTTTAAATATGCAGGAGCAAATGTGAAACACACTTGGATTGAAAAGTACCTTAAAAAAGCTTTGGAGGAGAAAATCAGTAGCAAAGTAGGTACTAAGAGATATCAAAATACATGATGTTTACCCTTTAAAGAAAAGCAAGAATGAACTGCAAACTATAAACATATAACTAACCAAAAAAAGTTTCTCTTGAGAATGCACTTTTCATTTGCACATATTCCCAGGTGAGAAGAGATCACTGCCTACAGCTATTTAAATACTGCTTCTTTATTATCAATTCCTACTTTAAAGGGATGAACAGGGTGAAGGACCTTTCCTTAAGCAACAGGCAAACTAGCCAGGAGTGTCAGGTGAGGAAGACCCTGCAGCTGAAGAAACGATGGTGGACACTTGGGCCAGATGCTTTTATTTAGGTGGGGAGCTTCCAAGGAGGGTAAATGAGCTGGTGGGTGACACGGAAAAGACTGTCGCCTGAGCAGAAAGAAGTCCACAGGAAGGTGGTGTGAGCAGCTGGTTGTGTGGGAGGAGAAACGTGGACAGGAGCGACCAGAACCTTTGGGGCCGTTAAAGGACACTGGTGACCTGGTGACTTGAGATGTGGGAAGACATCAGAATTCCCACCCAACTGGAACACGTGCACAAGGTGGGCGGGAACTGATGGGAGTGAAAACCATTTAAAAGGCATCAGGATGTATATACCAGCAGCCGATGTTTGCCTAAAACACTCACGGGATCACTGATGGCCGTATCTACCCTGGGAAGCAGCAGGCTCTCTCCATAACCGGGGCCCAGGGCCGCAGAAGCCCTGCAAAGGGAGGCTGCCCAGGCAGCTGTCAGCCAGGTTCCCGTCCCTTCTTGCTGTGCTGGCACTGGCCTCTCCCACAGTGGACAGGATTAGCTTACATTTCTCTGATTTGAACCTTCTCACTGTACATATTTTCCTTAGTTACCTTCCTTCTAAGAAAGGTTAAAAAATAATAGAAGAAGATATATGAAATGGAAGAGCCAGAGAGCAGAATGTGGCAAAGCTGGGTAAACACAGAAAGACCCACGAGACTGGCGTCTAGAAACCCAGCCCAAACCTGAGAACCTGGTGGCTTCTCAACTGGACCGTTCCTCTGAGCAGTTACTCCTGGGGAACACACCTGTCGCATGAACCAAAACACACACTCAAAAGGACCCAAAAGTCCTGTGAGCTCTTCTAAGTGAAGATGGGGCACCAGCCCCCAGCACAGCTAAGGTGAGGCCCATGCCAGGCCTCCTGACATGCGCACACCAGCTGTCCTGGAGGGAAGCCAGCACTGTGCTCCTGGTTGCTGCTAGGGACCAGCGGTGCTGCTGGTGGGGCGGAAGTGTGCCACAGGGGAGTCCCGCCACCACCCTGCTGTCCGCTGGTCGTTAGCCAGTCTTACCTTAAGCAGCAAGCATTCTCTGACTGAGTTGTTCAACTTCCGGGACTGATCTCCCCATTATCCAGAGAGCCGACACTGATCCCCTATCATAACCAGCTTTTCTGTCACACAACAAAGCCTATGAGATTTGAGAGGCACCAGTGACTCACAACCAGCAGCCATATGTTTTGACTCTGTGTATGAAATTTCCACCTACAGGTACTTTAAAATGGTGAAATTTAATTGGCATTCTGTCCTTTAGGAATCTCTGTGAATGTTTCACAATACCCTTTGCCACCCTACGGGCTTTACACCAGACGGGAGGAGGGCCCCTCTGGGCAGTCGGGTGCCCACGAGCCCAGCCCAGCCTCTCTCTTCCACCCCAGCCTGCAGGCTCCACTGGCTTCACTGTGGCTCCCGGCAGGCCCCACGTTGAGGGAGCCAAATGGGATACAGGCCTCATCCAGCCCCGGACTGTGCATCACCACTGGTTATGGGGAGTCTCAATACAGCCTTTCACCTCGGGAGAAACACCACTGATTTTCAATCACACATTTCCTTTTCCAAAGTGCTTGCTGTCATAAAAACATGAAATGCTGTTTATCCTCAGGTCAACGGTAACCTGGCATCCTCATCAACATTCATGGGAAAAGTTGGGTTTTCAGTACAGAAACCCACTGCCTAAGAAGAATGTTCTAGGAAAAAGTACCTCACAGGAAATTAAGGCTAACTTTTCCTAAAAGAAGCCTCGGCCGGTATCATGACAGAATGGCAATGCAGGGTAGGCCACCACCCAATCCCTATTCTAAAGACAACAGATTTCAGTGTCAATGACTGTAAACGTGGAACCATTTTAAAGTTTTACATTAAATTAAATAATGACAAGTAAAAAACATACTGAGGAATGAAGAAAAAGCCAAACAGGATTCACATTTTAAAATTCTCAAAAAAAAAAAATGTTAAAAGAGTTGGCTGGTGTTTCTCTTAAAAAAAATAACAGGGCTTCCCTGGTGGCGCAGTGGTTGAGAGTCCGCCTGCCGATGCAGGGGACACGGGTTCGTGCCCCGGTCCGGGAAGATCCCACATGCCGTGGAGCGGCTGGGCCCGTGAGCCATGGCCGCTAAGCCTGCACATCCGGAGCCTGTGCTCTGCAACGGGACAGGCCTCAACGGTGAGAGGCCCGTGTACCACAAAAAAAATAAATAAATAAAAAAATAACAGATGCTCTTCTGTATGTAAGTAAGTTCTAAGAATGTAAGTCTTCCACGATTTGCAGTGAATCACATCCTCACTTCCTACTATAAACCTCTCATAACAACTCTGATCCTATTGACTGCGTTGCCGTGGAGGAGGGCATATGAGTGAATACTGTGTGCAAAAGACAGGAAGCCAACGGGTAACCGTTTTAAGGGGGCCACGACCAAGTTGGGGAATTCACAACCAACGGAAGGGGCTGTCCAGGACAGAGGAAGCCTGGAAGCGGGTTGGGGCCCTATGCTGGAAGGACAGTGTTTGGGTATATTGAGAAAAACACATTATTAGAATGAATTTCACCTGTTTCTTTATACTTTTTTAAAATATTGCTTTTAGAAAACATTAAATTGTGTGTGTGGCTTGCGCTGTATTTCTATTGGACAGTGCTGAACTAGAAGGTTTAGTGAGTGGAAATGACACTGTGACCACCATGGAAATGATGCTCTAGACCTTTGGTTCAGGTTGAACACTTGTCGTAAGTGCACACATGGGGTTGGAGAGGCTGGGAATGAACACAGATGCCTGGCTCCCATACGACCCTTCCAGCTGTTTAGATGTAGCTGCCTCCACGTCAGGAGAGCCTCAGGAGATAAGGTCAGGTCTGAAGGGAGGCTGCTGTAGACCACGCTGTCCCTGAGCTGACCTGAAGTAAACCTACTCATGGCCTTGACCTCCACAGCTCACCCCATCAGACCTTCTGTTGCTGCTGACGAAGCCCTTCTAGAATATAAGTCATTTCTGGTGAACACATTTCTCCTAATGATCCAAGGTCTAGCTAGAGAAAAGGACTGTGAACTCAGGGTCTGGGAATGGGGTTGATCTGCCCTGCACATTGCCAGTCCCCAAGCGAGACGCAGTTAGCATGGCTGTTTTCCTCCCACTGACAGGACTATAGTCTATGAACACGCCTGAATCATTTTTGAATCTTTGTGTCTGGGACAGATAAGAAATTTCCTCTTACCCAGAGCTCTGGAGGGGTCAAGCTGCAGGGGAGGGAAAAGGGATGCCGTCCTAACTCTCGCCCCCCTTGCTGCCCGCAGTTCACGGGGGATGGCAGGCCTATCCTGGGGACGTCCTGTACCACCTCGTCACGTCAGCACCACGGCCCCACTCAGGGAGCTGAGTGAAGGGGCTCTGAGTAGGAGTCCTTCCCAGGGGCTGGGGGACAGGCTGCAGCGTGGCTCTAGCTCCAGCTGCCCCTCTGGAGGTGCTGTTGGAAACCTCTAGAGGCCACGAGAGACTCTGGAGAAAGAAGGGAAAGTCCCCAACAGTCTCCAGGAGACACGTCACGTGCACAGGACGAAGAAAGTCAGAAGAAGCGATCAGAGAGACAGGACAGCACCAACCGGCGACGGTGCCAGGAAAGGAGAGTCTTATCTGTGCTTACAGGCTGAGGAGGAGCCAGAGTAAAGAGATGGACGAGAGCAGCAGGGCAGGCACATTTCAGATGCGACACAGGGCCTCCTGGTAACCACACGACCGTCGGGCTTGCCCTGCGTCTCACCACCATGCACCTGTGCACCCTGAGCACAAGAGCATTTATCCTGGGAAGAGGGTCCACTAGGCCCAAGCGTAGGCGCCAAAAGGCAAGGGTAGCAAGCGTTCCTCACAGAGGCTGGGGTGCGGGAGTGCTTTCTAAGACTCTTCCTGGGGTCGGTCTTGAACAGACACAGTGAACAAGAAACTGCTGAGGTCAACTCAGCATGCAAGGCAATTCAAGACAAGCTGTGTCAGAGGAGGACCAGAGGTTACTTCTACCAACTAAATCACTGCAAAACTGGTCTGTAGCTGGATATCCAAATTAGAGGTTCAGGGAGTAACTTACATTGTTGGCATTTCCTTTTACTTGTCCTTAATCTACTGCTTTAAATGACAAGAGGTGCCTTCACGCACTAAGATTTTGCCATTTTGCAACTCTGAAGAACTTCTTAAAGTTGCAAGTACCCATGCTTGTCAAGACGACCTACGTTAAATCTATTTTTCAGGCCTTATTTCCAAAGCAAACACAAAGTTGACAAATGTATTAAAGACTTCTGCATTTAATGTTTAGTGTTAGTACTATTTCTTGCATGTTTAAGGCCTTACTCTTAAGTACTATTATGGAACACTATCTGAGGAGTTTGCTTTTCTAATACGAGATGTAAATATGAACTTTAATTATAAAATAGAAATTATTTTCATTCCTAAGAATGAAAGCCTATAACTAAAACATGACGTCTTATTAAAAAAAAGGAGCTGAGTAATAAAAATAAAGACATAAATACCTCATAGATCTGCAATTGTTCTGTTGTAGACATTCATCACGCATTTTGAGGGGAAGGGAAATATTGCAAAAAAATATGGCTAAAATACATACAAAAATATATGTGTGTACACACACACACACACACACACATGCTCAAACCCTTATATTTAAGAGCAACCTTTCTTAGGTGAAAAGGTCTCAGTCAAAATAGCAACAAACAAATAAATAAAAGGATTCAGATAAGATGGAGGAGAAAGGTTTGAGTGGAGAATATGATACAGAAGCATGAAATTGTGGACCACACAGGGAACGACCAGGGCACACGGGCGGGGCCTCACCCTACAGTTGAGCAGCGTGTACAGCAAGTGATCAGGGGTGGTCTGCGCCCTCCACTGCAGGACCTCCGAGAGGAACAGGAACTGGAACAGAGCACAGCCATTAGGTCTAGACTGTCCTGGGGGACTGGGCTGGCCTCAACATCTAAAAGTTTTGTCTGTCTGGGTGCTTTTAAGGTGGCTTAAGACAGCGAGAGGGTAATCCCATATAAATATAATTGAGAGAATAAGCAGGTGCTCACAGTGCTTTCCTGACAGTGATTTGGAATTCACTGTGCTTGGTTCAGAGGGCTGGTGCCATGCCACCATGAGGGAAGTTTTCTGAAACCTGCCCAAGGATGGGAAGACTCTATTCCGCTTATAGACAGAGTAGCCGACACAGAAAAATCCTGTCTCCTGGGGCTTCCAGAAGATGCAGCAGTGATTTCTCAGGGTTGCAATGACAGAATCAGAGCTACTCTGTTTCAAAAACGGGCTCTCTTAAATTTGTTGTGTTTACAGTGGCCATCCCTGAAGTCATTCAATAGCTCTGCAGATCACACAGGTGACACATACCCACTGACTCAGTCTCTAGTAACAAGGATGGCCCTGTTTAATGTCAGGACACAGCACTAGTGTCAGGATACAGGAAACGCCCACATCTTCACCTTAATCCATTTTATGATGGAAATGTACTGTGAGGTGGGGAACATGGTGATCAAGTGCTTTCAGTAAACATGTTACTACATGTTACCAAATTGGCAACATCTTAAATGGTTGATTTTGTCACATTTCCTGGGAGACCATCTAGAGTGGGACCACCTTTTGGTGAATCATGAGAGTTCTCAAGGCTGAATGTTCTAATGGGGACTTGTAGCTATGCGTGACAAACTGTGTGTCTGATGTTTAAGTGGAGTGGGGCCCAAGGATTGCTCCTACAGCTCCCAAGGCTGCTTTAAGAATGTCTGGCTCCCAAACCTGGGTTTTGCATTGACGTTTTCTTGAATTCCAACAATCAAAGGACTGAAGCCTCACTATAACGTGGCTGTGAGGCAGTGTGAGTGTCAAATCAGGGCTGGAGGGAGAATCAGGAACAAGTGCTTAGGGGATGCTAGGACACGACAGGGATTGCAGACACTGGCCTCAGGCCTGCTAGTCATGGGACTGCATCACCTACCCATGCAGTCCTACAACACTGCACCCTCAGCAAACACCTTTTCCTTATAAAATTACACAGACATCTCTTGCAGGACCAAGAGGGCAGGTAGGAAGAAAGGTCATCAATGGTAGATACTGGGCTGCCAGGGAGGGCAAGTGGGAGTTGGTGACGCCTGTGATACAGCATCTGGGCAGGAGTGGAGAGGAGCCCAGGCGGACGTCTAACCCTCAGCTCTCACCTTCCGGGCCTGGTCATTGTCTTCTATCTGGCCCAGGTCTCTGCCGCTGGCCTGTGCGATCCTCTTCCCAGACACCAGGTTCCCCACCATCACAGAGGCAGGGCCGATCTCTGCAAAGAAGCAGCGGCACACACGTGACGAAAACACGAGTGAAGTTCCTGAGAACATGACTTCTCACTTTGGGAAGAAGCTTACTCTAGGGAAATCCTTTCAAAGACATAGCTTTGAAAAATCTAATTAGAACAGGATTTCAAGTAAGTCACCACCATGAAAATGACAGCAAATATGAACAAGCCTCAAGTAAGGGTACACAGAAATAATGCCTTCACCAAATTCCCATAAGTGTTCTCCCAGGCCGCTGCCTTTGTTCTCCAGTTAGGGAGATGCTGACATCTATTCATTTAGTATTTGTGAAAAACAAATTTATTTAGTATTTGTTAAAAAACAAACAAAAAACAAACAGCTTTTTGAAGACAGATTTATATAACCTCCAATATTTAACAAGAATAGATGAGATAACCAGGTACCATTAGAGAATCCTTTCCTTACAATTTCCAATCACATGAAGCTCCATTTTCTGTGCTGCATGTAAGAGCGGTGCAGATCCTGGTACCCGCCGTGTGCGCCCTGAGGAGGAAGGCGCCCAACCAGGCTCTCAGAGCCTGTTCACTGGGCCACGCATCCCTGTCATGGGTTCCTAGATGTCTGACAGATATCTGAGCCCTGCAGTCCTGAAACGGTCATGCATCTGCCAACGATCCCTCATCATAAATGTCTGTCCTAAATTCTGCTGTCACAAACTGCGTCTCCAACACCTGGGCCCACTGGCCACTGGGTCGAGGCATCTGGTGATGGACCAAGGTTAAAGGTGGGAGAGGGAGGTTGGGACAGTGAGTGAGGACACCCCGGGGAGCCGAGACACTCCTGTCGATTCCGCAAGAACTTGGCAAGCGCCACGCTGTGGTAATCCCGGTGCTGCTGCTTGCACAGAGGGGCAAAGTCGGTGAGCCTGGTACCTGCTTTCCTCCTGCAGTATCAGCGTCCTCACCTGAATCTGGAGAGACCGCTCACCCCCATCTCATTAAGCTCACTTCTGGGGGTGGCCTGGGGGCGGGCTGGTTCCTATATCTACCGCCCACTGTGCTGTGACCAGTGCCCACCAGCCACCTCTAGCTGACTCGCCAGGAACTCTGCCCGTGCTGCCACTCTTCATCGGTGGAGTGAAGAGCTGTCAGGGCTGGGCCTGTCTCTCCTACACTCTGGACCCACAGCCTTAGGCAGTTCCTGAACCCCTCTGTGGTACGATGTCCTCATTTCCTTGCAAAATGGAGATAAGAGGACGAAATCCATGAGGATGAAATGAGTTAATACATGTAACGTGTGGACAAGTGGCTGCCTGTGCCAGGCACTGTTGGCCGTCGTCCTAATACCCCAGCCCGAGCTCATCCTGGCTGCCTCCGAGGTCTGTCTGCACATCAAGCCTGGAGGCCTGGGGACCTTCCATCACTACACGGGCAGAAGAGTTGATTCCTCACCACCATATTCTTGCAATGAATTCGTTTTCACTGATAACTGTGTGCAGCCTTAAAGACTATGATCAATTAGCTGTTAGGAGGACCAAGTCAGATGGTAGATAATTACGTGCTCCCCAAATTGCAAATCAGCAGACAAATGTTCACCATCATGACAATGTCACAAGTAGATCTGTACGATTCCTCAAAGGCTTCCAGCTGCTGTGACTCATGAAACAGGTATGGAAGCCTTATTCTAATTTGTTCAACAGGAAGCCGTGACCCTGAGAGGCTCTCTGCCAAAGGCCACCCAGGAGGTCTGACAACTGCCAAGAAGGCTAGGCTCAGGCACTGCCAACACCTCTCCATCCAAGTGGTCTACACCCCCTGCTGCCTGGACTCTGCTGCATTCTATCCCATGCTTGGTAGAAGGACATCGCTGAGCGGGAGGCTGACTTGCCTGGGAGTGTGTGATGGGAGGCGGGAGGGGAGGGAGGCTGAGAACCGTGGTCAGCGTGGTCCCCACCCAGCTCCAGGGCCACCCCGGGCCTGCACGGCCCTCCAGATGTACCTGGTTGCTTCTGCCGAGGCTTGGGCAGGTTTGTGACGCACGTGTGGGGGCACATCAGGACATTGCAGGGGTGAAGTGAGCCCTCCAGGAAAAGCTGCTTCGTTTCTGACAAATGGATGCCACCGAGTGGGGTTTTGGGGAGGGTGTTTGCTGGAACCAAGGCCAGACAATAAACCCCAACCTGATGTATACTGTCGATTGCCTGGAAGGTCGTGAGAGAGGGAACCGTGTTAAAATAGGTATCATGAACAGGCATGGAGCAAATACTCAGACTGTGCAAATCACAACACAGAGAAGCAGGTGCAAGCACCCGTGATGCTCCTGGCATGGAGACGCTGAGGTCAGAGGAGGGCAGGCTCGCTAAACTGAGCAGAATACAGTTTTCATAGCACTTGTGGGACACCACACACACAAGAACGCACACTGGGAGAAAAGAAAGCAAACTCTCAAGGTCATAACCAAAAGGTCCTGCTGCGACCTCCACGAGCGAGAGGGAGCCAGTTCTGCAAACCTCTGAACCCTAAGCCTGGTCTGTTTAGCTCCTTCCCTAGAAGGCAACTGTAAGTTTCATGGCTGATGCAATCTCTGGTCAAAAGGAGGGATGATCAGAGAGCACAATGGTGCAAAGAAGCCCAGGAGAGGGGCTTGGGGCAGAAGCGAGCTACCTGCAGCACCCTGCTCATCCACTGGAAGCTGTCCTCCTCCGTGGAGTCCGGCCTCTGCTCAGCCACGATCACAATTCTCTCATCGTGCAGGACGGTCACCGAAAACACTGCTATCCTGTGGGGACAGACAGGAAATTGCAGTGATCACATGCTGGACAGGCTCACGAAGGGACTGGCCCTGCCATAAAGCGCTTCGCAGCTGTTACGACTGCAGAGCTCAGGGGTTCCCAGTGCCAACTACCACCTTGACGGGAAATTGCAGCTTCCAACTCCCAGGTGCTCACCCACGGAAGTGCGGCTTTGGCGGAGAAGCCTGGCAAAGCCGGAGGGCAGAACCACCACACTTCCTGTGGAGGTAGCCCGTGGCTTTGGGTGACGGGCCTCATGCCTCGGGACAGAGGAGTCAAGCCCAGGTACCAGAACTGCTGAAATTTACTGAGCCGTGCGACTTGCATCTTGAGTTTGCACCTGCGAAGCAATATTCTCCCAATCAGCAGAAATTTGCCATTTGGGAGCTAACTGTTTTCTGCTAGCTGCGTCTGCCTCTCATGGGAAGCACAAAATGTGGCGAATGGCCCTCCAGGGTGCCCTGTGCATGAAGGTGGCTTGGCTACCCCCAACCCCAAGCTCTGCTTCCTCCTGCTCCCACTAGCTCGGCAACTCAGGGTGAGATCCAAAGCAGCTGACTTCCTCCAAAACCTCAGGAGCCGTGGTCAGCGATCCAGTGTCGGTTGTGTGCCAAGCTGGGGTTGGGGGCACCACCAGGAAGAAACCCATGGGAGCCAATTTCCAGGCAGTTTGTGGCTCAACTGTTACCTCTGGGTGAATGAGCTGCAGCAAGATAAATGCTTGGCTCTTTTCTCTGTGTACTTATTAAAAATAAGGTTTTCAAATGGACATTCTTATTTAACTTGGAAGAGAATTTAGTGAAAGTATATTTATGGGGCTCAGAAAAGTTTCATAAAATTGGACATTCAGAACTGCAGGGAATCTCAGAAGTAATAGAGTCCAGGGGCTTCATTTTACAGAGGAGGACACCAAGTCCCGTTAGTTTAAGCAATTTTTTGCAGTTTTACACAGAAAGTGTAGTCTGTGGAGAACTATGCCAACCACAGAGGGCGCTCACCTTCCCCTGTACACGAACTTCATGGGCTCCACGGCCAGTGCTGTGGCCACGATATCATCGGCGTTGTGTCTGCGCCCGCTGACCACCATAAGCCCATCCATCTTGCCCACCACGAACACGAGGCCCCCAGGGCCGACGAAGCCCAGCAGGCCCGTCCTCACGAAGGGGTACTCGCTGACCGGGGCCCCCGAGCTCGTCACCGGGAACACCTGGGGACAAGGAGCTCTGAGTGCCCAGCAGGGCCCAGCCTCCACCCTCCTTCTTGAAGCCCACTGGTCCTGCTTCCCCCCAGCTGGGTCTCCTCACCTGACCCTGGCTGGAGAAGCCCAGGTCCGCATAGCTGCTGTGAGCGCCAGCCTGCGGGCACCTCCCCTCTCCCCCCAGCTCTCACAGCTCGTCCCACCGGCCCATGCGCAGGGGCCTCTGAAGAGGCCTGCCACAGTCTAACAAACACTAATTCATTCTTCTGCTTATAAAACCACAGCATAAAAATGGTTAAGTGGAGAAGCAAGGTGCATTTTAAATAACATCTGTCAGTTGTAAAGTAATCCCTGTTCATTAAAATGCTATTTTTCCTTATTGGAAATACACTCAAAAGAAAAATACAGAGGAAGCAAGCCCCACCACGAGTTCAAACTCGATCCCTAGTTTCCTCAACCCACCCGACACATAAGTCGCAAAGAAAAGGAGATAAGTTTTATTTAGACTGTGTTTGGCTCAGTTTCAGGGGCACTTAGAAACCTGAATCTACATTCAACAAAGCTGCCTGTACAAGGCACCACATCACATGTGTTCACATCTGAAGTTCTACATGTTAATAAATTTATCCCCAAACAACTCATGTTTGCTGACATACAACTTAGTCAAAGTGTGTTCCTTCTAAGGTCAGGCACACTTGGTGAAACGATACGAATTCTGAGAATGCTGGGTTTACTGGGCAGTGTGTGCTAACTGCATGCCACACCCGTTTGCACACGGCACGGACACACACTCGTGTGGTAGAGGTAGATGTGCAGTGTGCATGTCTGGCCGAGGCTGACAGGCCCCAAGGGGGCCACTGCTCCCTCCCCCAGCATGGCCATGCACACTCTCCAGCCTCCACCTGTCACCTGCTCCTCTTCCTAAACTGGTGAGAACGGCAATGAACAAAAAGGCCCCTTTTATAAAAACTGTACTTGCTCTTTCTCAACTCTGGTTATGAGGTGAAAACAACGCTGCTAAGCCAAATTTATTGAAAACTATAAAAATAACAGCAGGAGAAAGTGCAAGCATTTTAATTACTATGAATACGGTTTATTGAGAAATTACCATCTTCTCTTTCATGTCTATTCCACGCACCTGGCAATGGCTGTTTGACGGGGCTCACCTCCCACCTACCTCGAAGGTGTTCTTGGTCATACCCGAGAGGCCGTAGTAGGACGTGCCCGTGGCAACTGCGCACATGCAGAGCTCCCCGACTTCGTCCGTCCTGCACAGCTGGGGAACTCCGTCCGGCTTCACCGAACACATGATGGCTGAACGCAAAACGAAGCACAGTGACGTTAGAGAGGGAGGGAGGGAGGGAGTCAGAGAGAAGAAATGAATGAATATGAAAAAGAAGACAAACGAGCAGAAGCAGCGTCTGCGGCAAAACCACAGGTGAAAGCGAGCAGGTCCTCACAGTCCCTGAGGCAAGTGAGTTTCCATGTTGCAGCAAAACCTCACGTTTTATAGTTGTGACATCAGTAAATAATTCCAATTGCTTTAATTTTAGTATGTAAATGGCATTTAAAGGGAGTAACCGTTTCTGCCATCCAGACATGAGGACGACACTTCGAACAAGCCTGAGCGTCACTGCCGCATGCTGAGTGTCATCAGCCAGCCCACACAGCCTCCAAGATGCAGCCTGAGCCCTGAAACCAACGAGCAGGAGACACTTGCTCAACAGCCTCTCAGGCTTTTCTAAACAGAAAGACTCCCCCGTCCCACGGGAATCTCAGTCTTTGACCTCAGATTCCCCATCAAGGTGTGCCCTTCAGGGAAGGCTGGCGGGTGCTAATTTTCCTGTTTGCAGAGCGCCAGCGATCAGGGCTGAAGCTGGTGTTTCAGGGAGGTGGTGGGTGCACCGAGCGACAGCTGAGCTGGGCAGAAAGAGTCTTAAGGCTGCCCCTCACTCCCAGGTTGGTGTTAGGTGACAAGCAGTACTATGTCTAAAAACAGAGCCACTCAAAACACGGGAAGATGTTCAGCTCACTCATGGTAAGAAAAGTTGAAATTAAAAGGACACCAAAGTATTCTTTACCCCTCAAACTGGTAAAAATAAGAAAGTCTGTGAATACACTGGGCATGAGGGAGTGGAGAAAGAGGGGCGTCCCCCGCTAGCAGCACGAATATCAATCTTTATGATCCTTCTGAAGGACAGCCTCATCAGAGTCACCTGGGTGTGTGCCCTTCACACTGCATGTTTCTAGAACTCTCCCTGTTAGCTCTTCCTCACACCTCTGCAGGCTGGAGCACAGATGAGTTACTGCATCAACCACACTGCAGGGGCAAAAAGCGGAAAATCGTCCAATGGGAAGGGTTTGGATAAACTATTGTGTGTTCAAACACCATAATGCTCCTCAGCCTGGAAGGGAATGTGTGAGCTCTTCATGTGCTGCTAACAAACGAGCTTCAAGATTCAAGATACGAGCAGGCACGAAGGGCTCTATTGTTACGTGAAATTTTAAAAAAACAGGAAAAAGAATATGCCGCTGTGTGTGTGTGTGTGTGTGTGTGTGTGTGTGTGTGTGTGTACACGTACGTGTTGCCTGCATGTCTCCACTGTGGTTGCCTCCAGTGGCTGGAAAGGAGGCTTTTCACTGTACAGTTTTCTCATCTTTTGAGGTTGGAACCATGGGGAATTTATTTATTTGAAAAAGCAAGAAAGGAATGGAGCCAGGAGGCCTGGCTGAAGCTGCAGCTGAGCTGAGCATGTGCCTGGCTTTGGGGTTAGGTTGTATGTGGATGCGACCGCCCCTGATGAGGCGAGACAACACCCATGTGCATGGAGGCTCATCAGGAGAAGGTCCAGACTCTGGAGGAACTGCCCCAGGAAAGGGGGCCCACTCCCTGGGGACGCCATGTGAAGAGTGAAGAGAGGCAGGGCCAGGGAGGGAGCCCTACAAATCAGACCGGGGCTCCCTCCTGCCAGCAGAGCCGTTCCAGCTGCACTCCCTGGGGCCCCCGCGAGGCCTCAGGAGGTGTCCCAGCACAGGGCAGGGGTGGAGAGGCAAGAGGGCTTCATTAAGGCAGGTCCTTCTGCTGGGAGCTTGTCTGTATGCAACGCGGAAATGATTTCTGTGACTTAACCAAGGGCTCTTGCGCTGCAGGCAAGCTTCCATAAGGGTTTGGCCCCCAGTGCACCAGGACAACCAGCAGGAAGCTGACCTTTGCATGGAGAGAAGTTGCCCAGGTGCCGCTGGGGGTGCAGAGCGGCCCCGGGTGCCTCCTGGGGTCCCAGGGTGCATGTGACATAGAGGCCTTTCCTCAGCCTCATGAACATTTTGGGTTTTCTTTTATCAGGAGAGGCCGTGTTACCACACCTCCTGGGCTGAAGCTTGGCGAACACGGGACCAGACTGGAGGTCAGGCCGAGGTGGGCACGCTCACAGCCAAGGACAGGGATGCCAGCCAGGGCAGCACCGGCAGCTGGTCCCCGGCTGGGCTCTGACTCTGCGCCTGTACCCACGCTCACCTCCAGGCATCACGAGGCCAACGTCCTGCACGGTGAGTACAGACAGCTTTTCCTCCGAGTCCACCCGGATGACCCCATAGGTCAGGCCGTGCATGGAGAGGACGCCGCGGCCTGGGGGCTGGTTGCTGTCATCGGTGGGCCTGTAATGGCAGTTTGTGTCTGGTTAGAAGCACGTCAGCTGTCTGAACACAGATATGCATGTAAATGTGCTGCATGCACACCAAGGTTGCACCTTTGGGCCCTGAAGGCCTCTGAAGGCAGGTGTGGCTGCCACATGTCCCTGTGCTCTTCTCAGCACCTGTTTTCTCTGTTCAGGAGACACCAATGTCTGCTCCTTCTACTTCTGGGCTCCTGAGAAGTGCAGAGACACCAAAGGACTCCCTTGTCCCCCTGGCCTGCCCTTACATGTGTCCAACAGAGAACGACCAACTCCTTTTCGCACCCACTCCTCTCTCTGCAAGGTTGGATTTCCCAGGTTTGAAAACGGCTAAGAAGGGAGAGCCACGTCTCCAAGAAGGACGATGACAGGAGGGAGCAGAAATGCTAGACTGCCTGTGTGGCCTCCAGGCCAGATGTGCACTGTGTGGGCACAGGCTCAGTACTTGTAAAAATCGGCAATTATTTGGATGAGAGACCACATATAAAGTGCTTGATGGCTGGGGGAAAGTACAGTTTCACCACATCCACGGTCTGCCTTCGCACTGTCCATGGGCTCCGAGGCTGCCCTGGCCTCACCTCTGCTCTTGTTCTCCCTGCTTCCAAGCTGCATCCAGCCCTGCTCTCCCTCCAAACCCCAGCCCACTCCCTCCGGGGCCCTGGCCTCCTTCTTGCCTCTGGCAGACGGCCTCATGGCCCTCTTCCTCACTGTCCTCCAGGGTGGTCCCGTCTCCATAGCAGGAACCATCTAACTATCTGTCCACGCCTCCTCCAGGAGGGCAGGAGGGTTTTCTTTTGGTCACTGCAGAGGCCCCACCCCTGGAGTAGTGTACAGCAATAAATGTCTGCTGACTAGATCAGGGAACAAATAAATTAAAACATTTCCAAGATCATGGATTTTATCTCTGCAAGCTAAAGAGTCTTCAATGTAAGCAAAGAGAGAGAGTGCACTTTAGGTAAAAATCACACTTGTTTCTCTAATTTTCCATATACAAATGCTTAAGGTAGTTTTAGGATCTAAAATATGGACTATAAATAGAAGTTTGGGGCTTCCCTGGTGGCGCAGTGGTTGAGAGTCCGCCTGCCGATGCAGGGGACACGGGTTCGTGCCCCGGTCCAGGAAGATCCCACATGCCGTGGAGCGGCTAGGCCCGTGAGCCATGGCCGCTGAGCCTGAGCATCCGGAGCCTGTGCTCCGCAACGGGAGAGGCCACAACAGTGAGAGGCCCGCGTACCGCAAAAAAAAAAAAAAAAAAGAAGAAGTTTGCTATACGGCTTTAAAGTATCATCAAAGTTTATAATGAAACTAAAACCATAAATGGGAAAACACAGAAGTTAAAATTTGCAAAAAGAGATCTAATTTGAATCAAGTAACTGGTATATTTAAAAAAGCATATGTTATATGTCAAGTATATCTCAATTTAAAAAAATAAAGAGTCTGAAAATCGAACTATTCCATCTATAACAATCAAAAAGAGTAGTGCTAAAAGGATATAAAAGGAAAATCGCCCAAATAATAAGACCCACATGAAACCACCTGGAAATGAGCCCCAAACGCTGGAATTGATATTGATCTCCTGGCTTTTTTCTTTTTCAAAGATCCCAATAAATCAACATTTTGAAATGAAAGATAGAGGAGTCCTGCAGGAACCCTCTGCGGCCAGGGCTCCCTTACCCTCGTCCTTGGTCAAGACCCCACATCAGAGTCAGAAATCATAAGCCTAAGTAACTGCTGTAGGTTGAACTGTGTCCCCGCAAAAGACATGTCCCCGTCTTAACCCTCTGAACCTTGAATGTGACCTTACTGGGAAACAGCGTCTTTGCAGAAGTAGCTGGTTAGGAAGAGATTATGGGTCTGCAAGCCAAGGGTTGCTGGTACCACGAGAAGCCGGAGGGAGGCCCAGAACAGATTCCCCATCAGAGCCCCCAGAAGGAACCAACCCTACTGACACCCTAATTTCAGACTTCCAAACTCCACAACTGTGAGAATAAATTTCTATTGTTTACAGCCACCCAGTTTGAGGTACTTTGTTATAACAGCCCTAGCAAATGAATTCGCCAACTAAGTAATATAATTTAAAAGTGCACCTGTTGGGCTTCCCTGGTGGCGCAGTGGTTGAGAGTCCTCCTGCCGATGCAGGGGACACGGGTTCGTGCCCCGGTCCGGGAGGATCCCACATGCCGCAGAGCGGCTGGGCCTGTGAGCCATGGCCGCTGAGCCAGCACGTCCGGAGCCTGTGCTCCGCAATGGGAGAGGCCACAACAGTGAGAGGCCCATGTAGCGCAAAAAAAAAAAAAAGTGCACCTGTTTTAGGACTTCCCTTGTGGTGCAGTGGTTAAGAATCCACCTGCCAGTGCAGGGGATATGGGTTCGAGGCCTGGTCCGGGAAGATCCCACATGCCATGGAGCAACTAAGACCGTGCGCCACAACTACTGAGCCTGTGCTCTAGGGCCCGTGAGCCACAACTACCGAAGCCCGCGCGCCTAGAGCCCATGCTCTGCAACAAGAGAAGCCACTGCAATTAGAAGCCCGCACATCACAATGAAGAGTAGCCCCTGCTCGCCACAACTAGAGAAAGCCCGTGTGCAGCAACAAAGATCCAACACAGCCAAATAAATAAATAAATAAATTAAAAAGTGCACCTGTTACATCTCAAATAAACAACCTAACCTTACACCTAAAACAATTAGAGAAAGAGGAACAAAAAAAATCCCCAAAGTTAGCAGAAGGAAAGAAATCATAAAGATCAGATCAGAAAAAAATGAAAAAGAAACGAAGGAAACAATAGCAAAGATCAATAAAACTAAAAGCTGGTTGTTTGAGAAGATAAACATAATTGATAAACCATTAGCCAGACTCATCAAGAAAAAAAGGGAGAGGACCCAAATCAATAGAATTCGAAATGAAAAAGGAGAACAACAGACACTGCAGAAATACAAAGGATCATGAGAGATTACTACAAGCAACTATATGCCAATAAAATGGACAACCTGGAAGAAATGGACAAATTCCAAAGCACAACCTTCCGAGTTTGAACCAGGAAGAAATAGAAAATATAAACAGACCAATCACAAGCACTGAAATAGAGACTATGATTAAAAATCTTCCAACAAACAAAAGCCCAGGACCAGACGGCTTCACAGGCGAATTCTATCAAACATTTGGAGAAGAGCTAACACCTATCCTCCTCAAACTCTTCCAAAATATAGCAGAGGGAGGAACACTCCCAAACTCATTCTATGAGGCCACCCTCACCCTGATACCCAAGCCAAAGATGTCACAAAAAAAGAAAAACTACAGGCCAATATCACTGAACATAGATGCAAAAATCTGCAACAAAATACTAGCACACAGAATCCAACAGCACATTAAAAGGATCACACACCATGATCAAGTGGGGTTTATCCCAGGAATGGAAGGATTCTTCAATATACGCAAATCAATCAATGCGATACACCATATTAACAAATTGAAGGAGGAAAACCATATGATCGTCTCAATAGATGCAGAAAAAACTTTTGACAAAATTCAACACCCGTTTATGATAAAAACCTTCCAGAAAGTAGGCATGGAGGGAACTTACCTCAACATAATAAAGGCCATATATGACAAACCCACAGCCAACATCGTTCTCAATGGTGAAAAACTGAAACCATTTCCTCTGAGATCAGGAACAAAACAAGGTTGTCTACTCTCACCACTATTACTTAATTTTGGAATTTTTAGCCACAGCAATCAGAGAAGAAAAAGAAATAAAAGGAATCCAAATTGGGAAAGAAGAAGTAGAGCTGTCACTGTTTGCAGATGACATGATACTATACATAGAGAATCCTAAAGATGCTACCAGAAAACTACTAGAGCTAATCAATGAATTTGGTAAAGTAGCAGGATACAAAATTAATGCACAGAAATCTCTTGTATTCCTATACACTAATGATGAAAAATCTGAAAGAGAAATTAAGGAAACACTCCCATTTACCACTGCAACAAAGAGAATAAAATACCTAGGAATAAACCTACCTAAGGAGACTAAAGACCTGTATGCAGAAAACTACAAGACACGGATGAAAGAAATTAAAGATGACACAAACAGATGGACTTAGACACCATGTCCTTGGATTGGAAGAATCAACACTGTGAAAATGATTATACTACCCAAAGCAATCTACAGATTTAATGCAATCCCTATCAAACTACCACTGGCATTTTTCACAGAACTAGAACAAAAAATTGCACAATTTGTATGGAAACACAAAAGATCCTGAATAGCCAAAACAATCTTGAGAAAGAAAAACAGAGCTGGAGGAATCAGGCTCCCTGACTTCAGACTATACTACAAAGCTACAGTAATCAAGACAGTATGGTACTGGCACAAAAACAGAAATATAGATTAATGGAACAGGATAGAAAGCCCAGAGATAAACCCATGCACATAGGGTCACCTTATCTTTGATAAAGGAGGCAAGAATATACAATGGAGAAAAGACAGCCTCTTCCATAAGTGGTGCTGGGAAAACTGGACAGCTACATGTAAAAGAATGAAACTAGAACACTCCCTAACACCATACACAAAAGTAAACTCAAAATGGATTAAAGACCTAAATGTAAGGCCAGACACTGTAAAACTCTTAGAAGGAAACACAGGCAGAACACTCTATGACAAATCACAGCAAGATCCTTTTTGCCCCACCTCCTAGAGAAATGGAATAAAATCAAAAATAAATGGGACCTAATGAAACTTAAAAGCTTTTGCACAGCAAAGGAAAACATAAACAAGATGAAAAGACAAGCCTTAGAATGGGAGAAAATATTTTCAAATGAAGCAACTGACAAAGGATTCATCTCCAAAATTTACAAGCAGCTCATGCAGCTCAATATCAAAATAACAAACAACCCAATCCAAAAATGGGCAGAAGACCTAAATAGACATTTCTCCAAAGAAGATATACAGATTGCCAACAAACACATGAAGCGATGCTCAA